CAGGGGCAGAAATGTCTAATTTGATGCTGTCCCACTTATTGATTTTTGGTTTTACTTCCTGAACTTCAGGGGTCTTATTAAGGAAATTGGTGCCTGTGCCAATATGTCACAGTATTTAACCTGTTCTCTTATAGCAATCACAGTGTTTCTGATCTAATTCTTAGTCTTTGATCCGCTTTGAATTTTTGTGTAAGTTGAGACAGGAATCTAGTTTATTCTTCTACATATGGCTACCTGTCCCCCCTGCCCCCTGCCCTTTATTCCAGCACCATTTGTAAAACAGCTCTCTTTTCTTCAGCATGAGTTTTTGGCACTTTTGTCAAGGACCAGATGACTGTGTCTGTGGACTTGTCTCTCCGGCTTCTGTTCTACTCCGTTGGTCTTCATGTTGGTTTTTATTCCAGTACCATGCTATTTTTGTTACTGTGGCTCTGTAGTATAATTTGAGATCAGAATTGTGATGCCTCTAGCATTGCTCTCATTGATCAGTTTTGCTTTGGCTATTATAGATCTTCCTTATGGATTTCAGGACTTTTTTTTTCTAGTTCTGTGAAATATGTCATTGGTATTTTGATGAGGATTACAGTAAATCTATAGGTTGTTTTTTTGTAGTGTGGCCATTTTCACTATTACTTATGTCTATCCAAGAACATGGGAGGTCTTTCCATCTTAAATTTTTTAATATCTTGCTTCAATGTTCTACTTTTTAAAAAAATATATATATTTTTTAGTGGTTGATAGACCTTTATTTTATTTATATGTGGTGCTGAGAATTGAACACAGTGCCTCACACATGCCAGGCAAGAGTGCTACTGCTGAGCCCCAGCCCCAGCCCCCTGTGTTCTAGTTTTTAGTGCAAAGGTTTTTCACACCCTTTGGTAGGTTTGTCCACAGGTATTTTATTACCTATTTTTTGAGGATTGTGAATGGAATTGTTTTCCTGATTTCCTTTTCAGCAGATTCATTGTTGGATTATTAGAAAGCTATTGAGTTTTGTATATGAATCTTGTTTCCTGCTACATTCCAAGTTTTTAAAAATCAGCTCTGTAAGTCTTCTGGTGGAATTTTTTGATATTCTAAGTATAGGACCATGTCTTCTGCAAACAGATAATTTGACTTCTTTTTTTCCTACTTCTATCCTTTAAATTTCCTTCTTTTGCCTAATTTTTCTTGCTAGGGTCTCAACAACTATACTGAATATGTAACGATGTAAATGGACATCCTTATCTTGTTCTTGATTGTAGAGAAAACAATTTGAGATTTTTTCCTTTTCACTATGATGTTAGTTTTGGGTTTATCATTTATAGACTTTATAATGGTAAAGTAAGTTCCTTATATCCCTAGGTTCTTCAGTGTTTTTAACATGCATGGCTGTTGCATTTAGTTAGTTTTTTCCTGCATCTATTGAGATGAAAATGTGATTTTCCCCCCTTTATTCTATTTATGTCATGAGTTACATTTATTAATTTGCATTCCTGGGATGAAACCAACTTGATCATGGTGTACAATCTTCTTAGTGTACTTTCAAATGGAGATTGTTAATATGTTAGTAAGGATTTTGCCTTTAGGTTCATTAGGGATATTGGTCTGTAGATTTTTTTTTACATGATTTGTCTTTATCTGGTTTTGGTATCAGAGAGATAGTGGCTCCATAGAATTAATTTGGGAGTGTTCCTTCCATTTTTCATGGAGAAGATTGAAGAGATTGCCATTAGTTCTTTAAAGGTCTGGTAGAACTCAACTAAGAATCATTTAGTCCTGGGCTTTTCTTGGTTGGAAGATTTTTTTATTACTGTTTTAAATTCTTTGCTTATTCTTGGTCTGTATAGATTTTCTATGTCTTCCTGGATTAATTTAGAAAGGTCACATGTGTCTAGAAATTGCTATCTTTTAGATTTTCTAATTTATTGGAATATACATTTTAAAAATTTCTTCCTGATGATCCTCTGGATTTCAGAAATGCCTGTTGTGATATCTCTTTTCTCAACTCTAATTTTGTCGATTTGGGTCATCTCTCTATTTTGATTAGTTTGGCTAAGGGTTTATCAATCTTGCTTATCTTTTCAAAGAACCAACTCTTTGTTGCATTGATCCTCTTTGTAATCTTTGGTGCATTTTTATTTTCTATTTCATTAGTTTCAGCTCTGAACTTAATTATTTCCCGTTGACGGCTGATTTCAGAATTACATTGTTGATATTAATTGTTCTTCCTCCTCTAGGACTTTGAGATGTAATTAGATGGTTTATTTGGGATCTTTCTGATTTTTTATTTAGTCATATAGTGCTATAAACTTTTCTGTTAGAACTGCCTTTACAGTATCCCAGAGATTTTGCTATGTTATGTCTCGTTTGATTCTAGGAATTTTTGTATTTCTCCTTTTATTGGTTCTATGATCCATTTCTTATTGAAAAGGGTATTGTCGGGCCTGGGGTTGTGGCTCAGTGGTAGAGCACTCGCCTAGCACGTGTGAGGCGCTGGGTTTGATCCTCAGCACCACATAAAAATAAATAAAATAATGGCATTGTGTCCAACTACAACTAAAAAATGTAATTTTTTGCTTGAAATCTGTTTTGTTTTACATGAGCACAGCTGCTCCTGCTTGTTTTTGAATTCCATTTGCATGGCATATCTTTTCTCATCCTTTCACTTTCAACCTGTCTTTGTCTACAAGATGAATTTCTTGCAAATAGCAAATAGTTGGTCTTGGTTTTTAAATCTACCCTGAAAGTCTTTTATTTGGAGGGTTGAGGTGGTTTACATTTTGAGTTATTATGGAAATATGTTCATTATTTCTTGCCATTTTGATTTGGTTCATATTTTTAAATTTATTTTTAGTCATCGATGGACCTTTATTTTATTCATTTATTTTATGTGGTGCTGAGAATCAAACCTAGGGCCTCACACATGCTAGGCAAGTGCTCTACCATGACCCACAATCCCAGCCCTTGGTTCATATTTTTAATTCCATCTTAATTTTTAGGGAGCTCTTCTAGTGAGTGTAATCAATTTGGAAGTTCTGGGGTTTGTTTTTGTGGTTTCTATTTGTAATTCAGTATTTTCAATAGTGCCTGCTTAGTGGTCATGAATTCTTATAGTTCAACCTCATCTTGGAAAGTTTTTATTTCTACTTCAATTGGGAAAGACCTTGCTGGATATAGAAAACTTGGTTGGCAATTGTTTTCTTTTAGAGACTAGATTTATCTCATTCCAGGCCCTCCTGGATTTTAGACTCTGATTGAGAAGTCAGTTGTGAGGCTTATTGGTTTTCTTTCAAATGTGATCTGATTTTTTTCTTGCAGCTTCAAATTTTCTATTCTTATTCAATTATTTTGTTTATAATGTGCTTTGGGAGAAGTTCTTGTCTGTTTGGTCTTCTATATGCATCCTATATGTGGATGTCTATCTCATTTCTAACATTTGGGAAATTGTGTGTTATTATTTCATTCAAAAGGGTCTTAATGCCATTAGCCTGTATCTCCATGCCTCCTTCAGTTCCAATGACTCAAGACTTCTTGTACATTCTGATCATTGTCTTCTTTTTTCTTTACTGAGTGTTCAAGTTTGTATGCTCTGTCTTCAAGACCTGAGGTTTTTTTTTTCCCCTATATGGCTTAATATGTTGGTGATGTTTTCAAGTAAATTTTGTATTTGATTGATTGTGTCTTTCATTTCTTAAAGTTCTGACTGGTGTGTTTTCAGAATCTCTTTTTATTGAAATGGTCTTTCACCTCATGTGTTTGCTCCTTTAATCCATTTTTTGGATTTTCTTTAAGCCCATTAATCATTTTTTTTTAATATTTATTTTTAGTTGTAGTTGGACACAATACCATTATTTATTTATTATGTGGTGCTGAGGATCAAACCCAGGGTCTTGCACATTTGAGGTGAGCGCTCTGCTGCTGAGCCACAACCCCAGCCCTCATTAATCATTTCAATAATAATTTTTTGTAGTCTTTCTCTGTAATTTCACCCCTTAGATATCTATGGATTCCTTTTGGAGGGATTGTAAGTGAGGGGCTTGTTTGCCTGTCTCCTTGTTTTAGAGCTCTTAGATATACTCATCTTCCCCTTTTCTGTGGGGGTTATTTCTGTTTATCTCAGCTTTACCACACAGGTTTCCTGTAGTCCATGTATTAATTCAACCTCCAACACCTCTCAGTTTGCTGCTGCAGAACTGATTATTTAATTCACTCTTGGGAGCTGGTTTAGCACTATTGATTCTTCTGAACTGCAATATTCTTCTACCTCTATGGTCTATATTAGTGAATGTTTCACTGACATTGTGAAAGAAGTGTATTCTCCCATTGTTACATGAAATTATGTGCAAATGTCAATTAAGTCTAGTTGATTGATAGCAATTTTATTAGTTTCCTAGGATTACCATGACTAAGGATCAGATTGGTTGGCTTGTAATACTAAAATTGCATTGTTTCAGCATTCTGAAGTTTGTACCATACTCCCTCTAAAAATCTCAAGGAAAAATCTTTCCTTGTCAGGAATTTCCTAGCTTCTGCTGGCTTGGTTGCCATTCTTGATTTTCCTGGCTCGCAATGGCAGCAGTTCATTTTCTGCCTCCATCATCACATGGCAGTTGTGCCCTGTGGATCTTTCTCCTATGCTATGAGAACAACAGTCTTATTGAATAAGAAGGTCACCATATTCTCATATATCCTATTGGCAATTTGACACATAACAGAGATGTGTGGTTCTATACTCATCTCTTCCTGATACATGTGTCAAGTACTTATAAAGGGGTGTTCACTTCTTCCACTATAACAGTAGATGATGCATTTTTGTTTGTTTTTCATCTTTTTTCCTTGTCTAGTCTTTCTCATTCTATTATCCACTAAAGAGCATATTCTAGAAGCAACTGCATGTAAATCAACAATCCTCATCCATTCTAACCCTTGTCCACACAAGAAATCCCCTTGAGTATTTCTTCAGCAGTACCAAGGTACTGGGTTTACATGTTTTTTTTTATTGTTGTTGTTGTTGCTAGATTCTCATGAGGTCTTGATGGAGGCGATTCTGTGTGACAAGGGAAAGGATGAGGCCCATCTATTCACAAGGTAAGGCATCCCTTCCTTGTCTAAGATATAAATGCTGTTTCATTGGTTACTTTCTTTTCATTCAAATTCAGACTTGAAAATCTGGACATGCACATTATAGATGACTTGTAAATTTAATTCAACAGCAACTCTATTAATAACTGATGCCTGATTCAAGATGATGATCACTTATGGCAGACAGCATCTGTTGCTTACTGAATAGCATTGAGCAATTTCCTCAGTAGCACCTTTCCTGGTTGAAAAAAGCATTTTGCATGTGCCAACCAAAATGGATTGCAAAATCTCCCATGAGAAGCTCCTGTCTTTTCTCCTGTCTTTACTTTGGAGCCACTGACCATATTACTGTTTCCCATCTAATTTTCTAATATCTTTAGTGAACAACAGACCTGTGCACATAGGACTGGACATGATCTGATTCTCATAGTCTGTCCCTTTCTGTTATTGCAGATGTATTCTGCAGCAAATGAAAACTGTACATCTTCCCAACTCCCACCCATGTTGAGGAAAAAAATCTTAAGTACTGGGATAAGTTGGGGTTTCTTATCTGTTTATGTCTAGAAAGCCCTCCTTATTCTAGAATAGTGTTGGAAAAAGGAGTGGGGTATGGTGGTGAAGGAAACTGATAATCCAGTGGAGAGTTTTGCCCATCTATCATGGTCCTTAAATCACCTGTTATTTTGGTGGTATGGATATGTGTGCATAAGCATTGGGAGGTATCTCAGAGTAAATCCATGTGTAGTGATTGTGAATGTTTGTGGAAATGTGTATAAAAATATTGTCTTATATGTACAGCTCAAGTGTCAATTTTATTTTAAAAAATCCAACACTACTGTACACTTTACATCTCACACTTCAAATCTCACTGTAGCTGAATATTTATTGTTCGCACTGCCTACATGGAGATGTCAGAGTCAAATGGTCCAATCTCTTGACTTTGTAAGTGGAAGGGGCAAGTGTGAATGTAGGAATGGTTGATGCCCAGAGGACAAACTGACCTCAACTGATGTAGAAAAAGGGGTGATTTATTCTCTCAAAAGATGTTGTTGCTGATGTTTGTGTCTCTACAGATTGGATCATCAGCAGGTGATATGACTTGAGCAGTGAAGTTGAAGACTCAGTAGGAAAATTTCCCTGGGAGAAGTGAGTCTGCCTATATATTGGGAGACAGATACATGGTCTAGAGGGTGAAAGAAGCAGGGATGCATGTGTTTTTTTTTTTTCATATTTTAATGACATGAGCAAGAGCTAGTAATTCTATTTGCTTTAAGCATCCTGTTTGCAACCTCTTTTTTGCTCTACCAGCTAAACAATTTTCCCCATAAGACCTGCTCTGTCCTGATTCTCTGCCTCTCCCAGACATGAAAGCAGTTGGTCAGCATCTCTTGGGAATTATGAACAAGAGATTTTGTTCTGGGTTTTGAGTGTTGAACCACAATGGAAGAAATCTAATGGGATACACTCCCTCAGATGTACTACAGGAAACAGGATAAAAGTTCTTGTATGTGCCAGATGGTGGGTAGAAATCACCTCTCCCCTCTGCACTTTCAGGTCTTATAGTATCACTTTCTGTTCTGTCCTATTATCCACTCCTTGTTCAAAAGATAATCCCAGGTATGGGGAAATTAAAGGATATTTCCTCTGGACTTCCTTCACATTCTTCTGGGTCTGTCTGTAGAAGATTGTTGAGAACTACATCCTTGGCCATTTTCCTCACCTCCACTCCTATCTAATTCCAAAATCCCATTAAACCTTTTTAGACCTCCTCACCCTCTTTCTTAGGCTTGCCCTGATTCTGCACTGTAATGAGAAATGCTGCACGGCCAGGCGCAGAGCTGCTCTGCTCTGGGGACCCCACACCTGGGTTCTTTAGCCCTGGTTGGCTCTAAACATGCACAATCGTTGTCTTCTTTCCCTCTGTCAAAATTAAAAAAAAAATTTAAATACTTCAGCCAGGAATCTGGTTCCAGGAATTCTGTCCTGGATTGAAAAAAAAAAAAAAAAAGGGATCAAGGAAGTAAAACAAGGTGAAGAAGAACAGAGAGAGGAAATGTGAGTGTGGAGAGTGGATGGGGTAGCAGAAGTCAAATAAATGCACATATTCTGCATTGCTTCATGAAGATTCTCTGTTGCACTTAGGAAAACAAGCAGAGCTAATAAGAGCATTGCAGTGCCACTGCTGCCTGTCACCATGACCACACAAGGGCAGATAAATTTATGGTTAAAATCAGTGCAGGCAAATGAAGGGTGCCCTGAGAGCATATCTCAGTGAATGGATATTCATTCCTTGGAAATCCTTAAGATTTTTAGGCCAAGTCCTGCACTGCCTGTTAATTAGGAGAGGTTGTAGGTGTCCATAGGGCACCATGTGCTCGCCCCTTTGTTTTCTTCGTGGAAGGTATCTTTGGAGTGGGTCATCATCCTATCCCTACAGGACCCAGGCCCGCATCCCCAATCCTTCCAAGGAATATGGGGAGCACCCAACTCACGGATGGATGTTGTGGGATATTGTGGAATTGATGCTCCCATTTCAGGTCTCTGGGGATGAGGTGAAGAGGAGACAAGTAAGCAGAACCCCTCAGGCAAGCAGGGGAGTTCAGTTAGTCCAGAAGTGCATCCCTGTGGACTGGAGAGATCCTGGCACTGTCCCCTGTAAACCTGGCTAGGAGTAAACAGCTCAACTCCTCAGGGCCCCTCCGTCTCTGAGGAGCTGTGTGAGGATTTGTGCTTTATTGCACCATTTCTCAAACTCAGGTTATTTGGATGGCTTTTGGTATGTATGTCAAAGGTGAAAAACACACAAACTCAAAAGGAAATACACTTAATTATCCAGAATCTGTTTAGATGGTGTAATTACAAGTTTTATGTGTGTTATATTTTCTAATTTTGTAAATTAAAAAAAAAAACCAGAACTGGCTTCATGATGTTTTAAAAAGCAAAATTGTCTGTGACCTTATCCAGTCAGAATTGTGAAAATCCCCAAATTTATAGCTTTATGATCAAGCATAGTGATTTTCTTTTTCTTCTTCTTTCTTTGGTGTGGAGATTGGACTCAAGTCTCCTGCATGGTCATCTGATCCAAGAAGCAGTTGAAGGATGGGTCCTCCAGAGGGCAGGGCTAGAGGGGCAAGATCCTGGCACCACCCTGTTTCATCAGACCTGCTGATCCTCAGGGGACCCAGCTGTGTGAGACTCAGCCTTTCCACCCCAGCATCCAAGAGACCCCCTTTCTTCTGCCTCACGTTCACTGTCCAGGGACATATCCCCTGAAGGGATGCTAAGGGGAATGTCCAGGGGAATCTAGTGCTGGAGGACATTCACGAACACCAGAGAATTGGGTGGGCTTGACTCTCTTTTCAGGTCTCTGGGGAAAGGGTGAAGAGGAGGCAGTCGGGGCAGGGCTTTTCCTCCTGCAAACAGTGCATCCCAGTGGGCTCTGCAGAAGCCTTGGCATCAGCAAGGGGACACTGCACCCTGCAAACCTAGCTGAGATTAAGTAGCATACAGACAACACACTCAGCAGAGGGCAGCAGGCAGGTCTCAGTACCCGCTGACGTGAGCTCTGAAGATCTCAGGTACCAAGGTCACCTAAGAGGGCCTAAGGAGCCTCCTGGTTTTCCACACCCTCCCCAGTGAGCACTTCCTCCCTTGTCTAGGTGTCTTCCCAGGATGGCACACCTGGGTCTGTGTTGCAGAATCCTACACTGACACCTGGAAGGACAGTGATCTATGGTCCTGGAGCTCTGGGGCTCAGAAGAGGGCACTGGGCAGTGTCTAGAACCAGGCCACAGAGGAGGAGCCACTTGGCTGCTTTTCCCCTCCCACATGTAAAATAGTGTATACAATTGTGCACATTTAAGTTTACTTTGTACATATATTGGTCCTCTACTTAATGCTGGATGTTTTTGTATTAAATATTTGCTTGGTACCCATTGCTTTTAAAACCTTTTCTGTAAAAGAAAACACATTACAGGAAAACACTCTAAAGAGAGGTAGTGCCCCCCGCCAGTGACCACCACCATGATCACTCCCTGCCTCCTGTCCCCCTCATTTTTCCTTAATTGAACACAGTAACTTCTGAAGTAGCACTTCCTAGCTGTCCTTGTATCAGGGTCCTTCTAGGATTTTGTTCATTGAATTCTGTTTGTTCCTCTGGAAGGGAAAATGGGAACAGGATCACCCCAGGTCTTCCATGACACCTGGGATGTCAGGGCTGTCTCATCCATGGCCACCCATGTCCTTCATGGAAGATCTTCAACATGTGGCTCTGTTTCCTTTAGGGAAAGCTGACTTCTCTCTGAAGGAGTAAAGCTATTCTGCTTTTCATTATCTTTGCGCTTTCATCCTAGAAGCCCCAAGGGATTTCTTTTTCTGTAAAGCCCAGGATTTTACTAGGATATCCCTTGGCTTTCATCAGAATTCTTTTGAAGAAATGACTCCAAAGCATTGTTTCATTTCAGGAAAAAAAATTGAATTACATTTTTAATATTGGCCTTGTATCTTTGCTTTGTGTTCTGAGACCTTGAACATTTCTATAATCAGATGTCCTAAGGTGATTTTTTTTCTCCCCCATTTTTTTTTTTACCACCTCTTGCTTCATTTCTTTGGAGATATTTTTCTCTCTCTGACCTTCTGTTTCCCATGAGGCACAGCCCTTCACTGCGCTGCTGCTTCTTTATATCTCCTTGTGGAACCTACTTTCCAGTGTTTATTTCTTCTCTCCTCCCTGGTTTCTATGCAAGGCTCACAGATATGCCACCCCAGTTCTACGTTTGCTGACTCTGGCTTTTCCCATCCTTTAGTGAGTACTCTCCCTCATCAATGCCCTTGTTACTGTCCTTATCTAATCTTGAGCTTGATGTTCCTGTATTGGAAGAAGACAACTGCTACTCTATTACCCAAACCAGTAGTCATTCCCTTTAAGTGGCTACCCATTTTCTGAATCCTTATTTAGTTATTGTCCATTATAAATGTAACAAATTACCTCCTTCCCAAATTATTATTTCATTCTTGTAATTATTGTTTTTCAGTTTCTTCAGGTTTAAATAGTCACAGTATTTGTCTTGGATATTTACCTTTGAGTCATTTGATATTAATGAGTCATGAATTTTCTCATTCTTTCCAGAGTGATTTGGTTTGAGCTCTGGGAATTTATTTGCAGTGAGTGTGTGGTTTTTAATTTTCACCCTTTAGATTTCTCGACATGCCTGTGCTGGCTTGTTCTCAGCTGGTTCCACATCTCTCTGGGCCAATGGCTTTTGCTGTTTTCAGGCATAGGCAGCATGCCCACCTTGATACCTTTTCTATGTCATAGCATGCCCAAGGATTGTCCTTAAAGCCTTTCCCATATTATCCTAAAAAACCACTCTATTGAAATAACCTCTGTAGAAAAAAAATATTTTTAATTTTCTTGACTGAGTTTTTAAAAATTATGTGCATGTACCAAAAATGTTAGCCATATTATGCTAAGAATGTCATTCCACCTTAGAAATAAAGAAATCCTGTTATTTACAACAATATTGGTGAAACTAGAAGACATTATGCTAAGTGAGATAAGCCGATACAGACAGTATGATCTTCTTTGGATATGGAATCAGAGTGGAATGGTGGGGGCCAGGGGCTTGGTGTTTGGGAAGATGGGAAACTATTGGTCCAAGGTGACAACATTTCATGGATGCAGGATAAGTAAGCTCTGGAGAGTTCATAGGTAGCAAGTTTCCAACAGTTAATAAAACTGTATTGTAATGATTGTAGAGAGTACAGATCTTAAACGCTCTCACCAGGCACACACACACATAGAAGGTAAAATGCATGAATAGGTGGATGTGTCAATTAGTGTAACTATGGCAATCATTTCATAGTGTATATGTTCATCAAAACACCACACTGTATGCAATTTTTTATTTGTCAATTTTATCTAAATAAAGATGGAAAAATGTTTCAGTTAAAGCTAAACTTTCATGAAATTATGGGTTTGGAGAATTTAATAATTTTAGAAAATTGACTCCATAAGTATGATCAGCTATAGGTATAATAAAATTTATAATTTGAAATACTTGATCAGAAATGCCCTTAACAGCTGCACTCATGGTTGAAACAACAAAAGATCCTCTTCAAAGTTATTGAGATTATGATCATATAGTTATCAGGAATGACTGATGCCACTTTCAAGTGTATGAATTAAAGTTGTTAAAGGTATAAAAATATATAATATTAAAAATTAAGCCAAAAGTCTTACAATTTATCAAGATAAAATATTGAGGAAGTGTTGTATTATATAAAAGTGGGACCACACCTGAACAGAAGTGTGTGCACTTTTTGTAATGTGTAAATTTATGTTGCTCATGTGTCTTTGTCACTTCTGGTATGTTGTATAAATAATATTTTAAGGGAAAAAGGTATTTATAATTGAGTACCAAATTTTTTGCATAAGGGCTTCTGAATTTTTTTGCCTTGGTTCTTTCATGTCTTAAATCTTGAGCTACTGTAATGCAATACCAGAGGCCTCCTGCTGCCTCATCTAGTGGCACAAGGTGAGGGGACAAGAGGGTGTGTGAGAGAGCTTTTCATCCCAAGGTGATGGCATTAATCATGGTGGAAACTTTACCAGTGAATGGGCTCTGCAACATCCCACTTCACCACCATGTGGCACCGGGGATCTTGTTGCCGACACATGAACTCTAAGGACCCTGTCAACCATAGCAGCCTAGGCCATAAAACATAGCCAGTCCTGAAGAGGGGCAGAGGTTTGTCAAACCACTGGTGTGACAGCCCTGGTGAGAGGATGAGTGAAAGGAACTAGCAGGTCGGTTTCTATCCAACTTTAGGCTGAGAGTCCACCCGAAGGGGCCCTGCCATGTAGCATTCAACTTAGCCAAAGGGTCAAGGATAGCCCCAGCCAACCCATCACCAGTGGTCATGCCCGGACAGGCCCATCGGCAGTGGGGAGGACACTTGGTCAACCAGTCACCTCCATTGTGGGAGGACAGGAGGCCTGGTGGGTGGGGGGTATTTTATCTTTTTGAGTGGGGGTACAGGGATTGAACCCAGGGCACTTGACCACCTGCCAAATCCCCAGCCCTATTTTATTTAAATCCCCAGCCCTATTTAAAAGGGTCTCACTGAGTTGCTCCTCGCTTTTGCTAAGGCTGGTTTTGAACTCGGGATCCTCCTGCTTCACCCCACCAAGGGTATTTTATCTTATGTAACAAAATTTGAAGCTTTTTTTTCCCACCCGGATTCTGCTAAGAGTGGCATTTACTTGTTCCCAGAACAACCACTTAACAAGCAAGCTCACTAGAGAAACTCTGCTCAGAAGTCCTCTATAAAACTAAAGCCACTAAAATATTCACAAACGGGTTTTTGTGAGATGAGATTTTATTTCTCTTGGTTAAATGCCCAAGCATGGAATTGCAGGGTCATAGGGTAGGATGCCCTCCCAGCCTGCCCTGCTCCATTCCTGGCCTGCCACCTTAACAGGCCCCAGGTGGTGCCCCTTCACGTGTTCCAAGGTAAGGGCGGGACACACAGGTGTGGGTCCCACAGCTGCTGCCTCATGCAGCAGCTGCTTATCCAGGAAACTTACTTGCCAGGAGTCACCCCTCTGCTGGGCAGGATTTCTGTCCTGAGTCATGTCCCTGCAGCTCTGGGGGCCAGACTTGCTCTCTAGTTCAACGCCCTGAAGCTAATCACCCTCAGTTCTCAGCAGGAGATCAAACACCTGGGTGGGTCAGGGGCTGGTCTGCAGCCTGGGCCCAAGTCAGCTCTTTGTGGAGCCTCTTACTGGTGCGTCTCTGCAGGGCGTGCCAGCCTTGCACACCAGACGGTTCCTCAGAAATTTTTTTCTGCACATGCCAGTTAGTGTGTTCCACACACATGTACCCATTCTTTGCTTGTGCATTCCAAAGATGCGTCCCAGCCACAGGCCAAACAGTCACTTCCCTATGCCCAGCTGGCAGCTAAAGGAGAGGAACACTCAGAGCTCTGCTCTCCAAACCAACTAACCAATTTTACCCAACTGCTTCTATGGGCAGTTACTGGCTAAAATTTGCCCCTCATCTGTGCCCATGGCCCTAGGGGGCAAGGATCTGCCAGAAGGACTCAGCTGCCTGGAGCCTGCTCACTGGGCCCACTACTCTATTCCCTTGGCTCGTGTGGTAGCACAGACGCCCCTGATCCAGCATCAACTTGAAGGCCATGCTGCAAGTGTCCAGTGACTTTGCCCTGGCAGTTTGCCAAAGCACCTCCAAGAAGCTACTTCTGCAGACACAGTGCTCCTCTCAGGGGATCCCTACCTCCATCAGAAGAGGCCGGTGCTGTCTGCTGCCAATTCCAAGATGTCCCACAGATCAATCAGTGTGCATTAACTCCATTTTTGGTCCAGGAGCAGATAGTCACCCCTTGCACACCAGGTGTGCCCAAGACCCCTGCACAGGGATGACTGTGCTCAGAGACCTGGGAGAGAGTAGGAAAGAGCTGGCTGGCCGGGGGAAGACCCCATAGTATAACTATGGAGAAGCAGGACCATCAGAGAAAGGGCCCCCATGGCACTAGAGGCCCACGGTTTGGGCCCCTGGTCCATGGCAACCTCTCTTCCTCAGTGCTAAAACCTGGGTCTCTACAGAGAAACCTCCATGCCAAGAGCTCTGAAGCCAAAACCAACAAGGAACTCCACACCTCATACGTGACTTCCCACCCCAGTGAAATGCCATCAACTACCCATATAGCTACACCCAAGTTTCCCACCACTGCAGGGGAGGGGTCAAGCCTCTTCAGGTTGCTCCTCAAGTCTTCAAGAAAATACTAGTCACTGGGGCTCTTGGTCTCCCTCTTTGGCTTCTGAGGTTTCTCAGTGGAAGACCTGGTGTACAAAGGTGTCAGACTCTACAACAGGGAAGAGAGCAACCTTGAGTATCTGAGCACCCACATCCAAAAGTTCTAGGCTCCTAAAAAGCAAGATTCTTCTGTTGTCACACAGATGGGGTGTGGGGGGGTATCCATCACTTTGGGGTCTAAGAGGCAAATGCTGACCTGAGAGAACATCCACTTTGTCCCATGCTAGACTTTGTGTGAGCTCCCTTTAGATGGGCACCTGAAGTCTTGCCTAGACCTCTAAGATCCTGAGAAAAACTGGAGGCTCAGAGACAGCACTCCATTCCACCTACTTATTGCTGCTTTGTCCTCAAAGGTCAATTCTTTGAGGATGTTTTGGTCTAATTCCAGTAACTGGGTCCTCATGACAGAACACAGAGACCCTTGGCCCATTCCCTCTAGTCCTAGACTAATTTCCCCATCCCCCGAGACAGTGGCGGGAAGAGCCACCCAATGGTAAGCCCTGCTGAGCCTCATGATCCTTACCCACCAATCAGAAAGCACCCTGCTCTGTTGAAACTCTATAAATGTGCAGAGCTGTTCCTCAATAAATGGGCATTTTCTCCGACGTCGAGTCTTGTCCGGCCGTTCTTTCATAGGTGCCGAAACCCGGGGAGGGGGAATTCCACACTGCTCGAGGGCCCCCTCTCCCAAGGCCTGCTGTCCTCGTACACTCTTTTGAGTGCTGCTGCTACTCACACAACACCGGCTCTTCAGTAGGTGAGTTCCCCTATCGGGATCCAACTTCAGACGGGCTACGCAGGGGCTTTGACCATGATCTTCGGGCAAACCTCTGACGCCCAGTCTGGAGGAGAGAATGCACCCCACCACGACCTTCACGGTCACGGTGGACTCTGTGGAGCCCAGTTTGTGAGCAGGAGGTACTGAGGGGTGGAAGAACAGGCACTCCTCTCTCTCTCTCTCTCTCTCTCTCTCTCTCTCTTTCTAACCACCCTTGTCCCTCTCCTGACCAAAAACCTGAAAATCCTGGCACCAGGTGATCCATGACTTCTGGCCTTTCTGGGCCTGCCGGCTGGACTCTCGGGTGACGACTCCACCGTCCTCCCGGCCCCGACTCTCCCGAGTCATATTGGTCGAGCTCTCCTTAAGGGGATGCCTATGAGGAGGCTCATCCGATTCTGTTCTGGTCCGGACCCTTCCCACCTTCCTACTTCCTTCTTAAGGTTATACCATTATGGGGGCCTCTTCTTCCCTCCCTGCAGACTCCCCCTTAAAATGCCTCCTGGCTAATCTGGACTGGCTATCCCTCACTCCTGATATAAAACCCAAGACCCTCATTAAATTCTGCACACAAGATTGGCCTTACTATCAATTGGACAATCAAAGTCAATGGCCCCCAGGAGGATCCCTAGATCCCGCAATTCTCAGAGATCTGTTTAACTTCTGCAAGCACTCGAAAAAGTGGAAGGAGATCCCCTATGTTGAGGCTTTTTCTCTTCTTCGTTCTCACCCCGACCTATGCTCTTACCCTAACGACCCTACTGACTCTTTTTTTGATCCAGCAGATGAACTACCTTCCCTACCGACCTCCCCCGTTGGCTCCGTCCAGCCCCTCAGGTGCTCCCCCTGACTCAACTGACACCTTTAGTCCCCCACAAACTAGGTCCCACTCCCTAGTCCCACAA